AAATCTAGTTCGACTGCAGTTGGTCGTACACAATTTTTGTATAGACCTTCTTTGTGTAAAATTTAATTCTCTACAACTTTTGCGTCTTCACTTTTTCCCCTAAGTGAAACTTTTTTAGTTATTGGCGAAAAACCGTTTTTTTGTACCTTTTTTGTACCCTAATTTTCGCAACGACCATGATACGGGGTGGGCTTTTTGTACCTTAATTTTAACCCCAAAAGACCTCTCCACGAAGTGGCAACTTCGTATTTCTAGTATTTTTTCCTATCTTAGTCAAAATTTCGGCTCATTTGACTGGGCTACCTGTAAAGAGGCATTTGTTAAAGTTTCAACTGCATATGTCAGCTTATTAGAAAATGGTATAAATGGTATAAAATCAAATCTAAACTCTAAACGTTGTGGGTGAAGTTGTATCTGAGGTCTGTAATAAATTAATGAGTGCGTCGCATTCTCAATATGCATCTCAGGGTGCCTGCGCCCCCGTTGCTTCCACCTATGCGTCTGTTGCCGCGGCGCAGGTTTCAACTAAATCTAGCGTTAAGATAGCAAGGGGCCCCTCCATTAAGATACCGAAAACTACGAACCTAATTATAACGCCTGCTGAGGATTCGGCCGAGAAGTATGCTTCGTCTAATGATACAAGAGAAGCTTTTCGGAAAATTATTAAACCGGCGGACTTCAACTTGCGGGTCAAGAAGATTTCGGCTGTCAAGAAAAATGGCATACGCATTAAAGCGCTGACAATCGATCTGTCCAAGATGATGAATTCATCGGCGCTCTGTAACGCAGGCCTTCGGCTGATGCAGGAAACTAGAGTGAATCCGAGAATGCTGGTGCAAGGAGTGCCGTCTGAACTTACTAAGGAAGAAATCAAGGCGGACATTATGACTCTAAACCTTGAGAACGAGGATGCTGCGGGACTTAGGATCATTTATAAATTTTCGGTTAAGAAGGATCGAACAACGACAAGTTGTATTATTGAAGTCTCTCCTGACATCCGCGTCTCCTTGCTCAAGCATATTTTTGTTGGATATCATGCATGTAAAATATCCGACTACGTTCGTGTATTGCAGTGTTTCAAGTGCCTGGCTTTCGGTCACTTCGCTGAGAGCTGCAAATCCTCTCCCTTGTACGGTCACTGCGCTGTCACGAAATGAGAGAGTGTACAAGAAGAAACAAGCCCCCTGTCTGCGGAAACTGCAGACGTTGGGCGCCTCAAACGAACCAAAAACATTCGGCGTTGGACACTCACATCTGTTCAATTTTGCATAGACGAATAACGGACAGAATAAAAAGCATCAATTATGGATAGTACGGCATTGGAAAACCTACGTATCGGTCACGTTAACTGCCAGTCTTTACTGGCACACCTCGACGAATTTAGATCAAATTTTGTTAATTCAGGTTATCACATCCTATGTTTATCTGAAACTTGGCTAAAGCCGCCGGTCTCGGATAACCTTGTCTCGCTTCATGGTTATAATATCTTGAGGCGAGATCGAGTTGGCAAGATCGGTGGTGGGGTTGCGATCTATGTTCTTAATACCTTGAAAGCCAGGATATTATGTCAATCGGAGGATCTCTATGGTGGAAAGCCTGAATTTCTCTTTGCTGAGATTTCTATTGATAATTGCTCCAAGTTACTGCTGGCTGTTTGTTATAGACCTCCGCACTGTGGATATCTATCAGAGTTTTTCAAAACCTTTGTGGACATGTTGATTTCTTATAAGCATTCCATCATCTTTGGGGATTTTAATACGGATCTCAGCGCATCGACGTTTGACTCGCAGGCAGATACTATCCTTCGTTGAGACCTCTGGCTTATGCTTGGTGCCTTATAATGCTACGCATCACACGCGCACCGCTTCTACCTGGCTGGATCTCTGTATAATCGATGATGAAGAGAAATTAATCTCATATGAACAGCGGTACGTTTCTTTTCTCTCTGCCCATGATCTCATTGACATTGAGTATATGCTCAAGGTGAAGAGAACGTGTGAGAGGAGCATACGGGTTCGGGATTTCCGCTTTTTTAAGCTGGATGACTTTTTTGAGGACTTGGAACACTATGTAATTGGGAGGCCCTTTATCAAAATGATGATGTGGATAATAAACTTAAGTTACTTAACGACTACGTTATAAGTTGCTATAATAAGCATGCTCCGTTTAGAGAAGTTCGATCCAAACACATGGTTGCTCCTTAGCTGACAGAAGACATTAAAACCTTGATGAAAAATAGAGATAAAGCTAGGAGAGCTTGGAGAAGGCGGAAGACTGAGGACAACTATAGCAGATTTCGCAGGCTTAGGAATCGGGTACAGTTACTGGT